AGGCACCCTGCCCCTGCCAGGAAGAGCTGACCCAGAACACAGGGGCTTCCCAGGGCCATGGTCTGCAGCCCCTAAAGCCCTTTCTGAATCCTCCCTGTTCCTGGAGGGAGCCCTGAGTCCCTGCACGAGGATTATTAGGCAGCCGTGTGGCTTAGAGCAGTCTGGGGAATCTTTTTTGGGTCAGGGGTCACTGACCCACAGAAAGGTCAGTCGAGGGCCACACACAAGTGAGAAGCCAAAAACAAAACAAAAAAACCCGCCTCCCCCAAACAGATAACTGGGAAGTTCCCCTCGTACCTGGGAGCCTTGGGAGGCCCAGGCTAGTAGATTTTGTGTGCTCCAGCCCCATGGGGGGACGCCAATGGGGCACTGGAGCGCCAGCACCAGCTCGCCAATGCTGGGGGGAATGCCCCAAGCCTCGGGGGGTCAGATCCGGGCAAGATGGGGGCCGCATCTGGCCCTCGGACCTTAGCTTCCCCACCCTTGGCTTAGAGGGAACCTCGAATGGGACCTTGTCGGAGGTCTTTGGGGGAATTTGAGTGTTGACGTGTAGACGCAGGGAGCAGGCCACCTGTTCTAGGGTGAAGCTGGGGTCAGGATCGCGGGAACAAGCTTAAGTCAGAGCAAGGGGCCGGGGGTCAGAAACGGTGTTCCTTCTCATTTTTGCCATCCTTCTGTGGAATACATTTTGTTATGTGCACCGAGGCATGTGTGGATGTGCACCACCAATAGAAACACATGATGCTGGCTGTGGGTGCTCTGCTAATCAGTTGGATGCCATTGGACTTTCTCCTGGGTGGCTACCCAAGTGCTCTGCTTACAGGGAACCCTGGTTAGAAACCAGAGTGCGGGCTGGGACTAAGGCTGGGAGCGAGGACTGGAGCAGGAACTGTGAGGGGTGGGGGGCTCTCTGGAACCAGCTGAGCTTGCTGGGTTGCCTAGCTAATAGGTGGGAGCTGGTTCCACCCGTTGGGTGGCCATTGGCTTGAGTGACCCCAAGTTTCCATTGACCTGTGGGGGGCAGTGCCAGGCCCCTGTGCCTCCAGCCCCACCCCCAGCCTGCAAGCTGTGATGTTGCCTCTTGGCTCAGCCTGCCTCTGACCTCTTGGTCCTGTCTGTCCTCCTCTGCAGCATCCATCTGTCCCCATGTCCCAAGGATGAACAGCTCAGCGCAATGGCCGGGTGCCTGTGATGGCGCCCCCTGCAGGGCCCAGTGCCAGAAACGCCGCTGCATGTCCGCTGTGGAGCAGGGCTCCTGCCCGGATGGCGACCCGGAGGCTGACTGGGAGGTGGAGGAGGAGGGAGACCGCTTCCTGGGTGTGCCGTTGCGGAGGTTGTGCAAACTGAGGTCCTCCATGCACCCGCCGGATTCCTTCCGGCGCCACAGCTGGGAGCCAGGCAAGGAGCTGCAGAGTGACCCAGATTACGACCAACTGAGGTACCAAGCCTGATTCACAGCATCCCTTCTCCCTTCCATAGCTTGGAAGCCTAGATCTCCCCCTCCCCCCATTCCTGTCATCTTGGCACCAAACTTGCAGCCTTAGCAACATGCTGCTGCTTGATGGTGATGGGTTTGGGTATTTAATTGCTGGAACTAGCTAGGTGGTGGGTGGGGGTGTCTAGGTGCTGGTGTGTTTTCCTGGTGGGGATGGGGTATAAACACCTGTTGCAGAAAGTTCTGTGGGCCAGGGTATGGCTTGTGGATCTTGTTTCTGAAGGGCACTTTTGGGGCAGGTGGTTAACTTATTGCCACAGTGCAGTGTGATGTTAACCAATACAACTGGCTTCTGCAGCGTGCTGGGAATGTCTGCTGAGCAGTACTCCTTAAGGGGAATGTTAACCTGTGGAACTGCTTGCCACAGTACCACACATAATTTGCCAAGAGCATTGAAAAGCTTAAACCACGTGGCTCAAACTCAGTAATGTCAGCTGGGATAAAAATCTCCCAGGGCTCCTCATCCCTCAGCTGCAGGGCAAACCACAGCCCCACTCTGTGCCTCAGTTTCTCCAGCTGTGGCATGATACTGGCCTTTGTAAAGTGCTTTGAGAGGCATGGATGGAGAGGACTGTTTTATGGATGTAATAGTGTAGTTGATTAACTGATAAGCAAAAGCTTATAGGTTAATGCTATAGGTTAATGCTATAGGTTAATGCTATAGACTATACACATTCACCTCTTCCCCAGTAAATTTTTTAGCAGGCTGGCCAGCAGCCCAGCTCAGTCCCAGTTTGCACCAGTTCTGGGACCTACTTTCACTGTGGCTCTGCATTTAAAGTATATTAGGAGCCAGGTGGACAGGCAGCCTGGCTCGGTTCCAGCTTGCACTGGGTCCAGGGGCTCAAACTCCCCCTCCCCTGGGCAGGAATTGTTGCCATCCCATGCTGCTGCCTCTGTATCGGAGGCAGCAGAGTGGGGGTGGCAGGCAGCCAGTCCACTAGGGGAGTTGGTTTTTTAAACTGGCTCCCCTTGTGGACCAGCTCCCTCCTGGCATGATGCAGCACGGGGTGGCAGGGGGCTCCCCAGGAGTGGGGCTGGAGCACACTGGCTGCCAGCCCCACTCCCAGGGACTACAGAATAGTCAACTAACCGATTAGAATTCATGAGGTTAATTGACTATTCAATTAACCGATATTTAACATGTCTAGACTGTGTAAGAGCTAGATATGATTGCTGTGTATCTGTACAGCACCTAAAGCAGTGGGCCCTTGTCCATGGCTAGGTCTCCCCTCTCTTCCCATCCTAGCCCCTGTCCCTGAACCGTCAGCCCTTTCCTCCTTGGTGCATTCAACTCTTTTGCACTGGCTTCCCCATGGACTGCTCCCATGGTCTAGGCTCAGATGGGGCCAGGGATGTGGACTCTGCTCCAAGGGGAGTGTCTGTTGTTTCTGATCTCAGCTGCCTTTGTTCAGCAGCTTCAATTCCCTCTTATTGCCCCCCAGCAGCTTGACCCAGTGAACGCTTGGAACTCCCCCACTGGGCTCCATCCTATCGGGGCTGCTAAGCCAACCTTCCTCCCCTCTGCTTTGTCCTGGCAGCCTGTTGGCTCTTGTAAGCTAAGCAGAGCAAGACTGGGTCAGGGCTGGGAGGGGAGAGGAACATGCTCCAAGGGGTCGGGGTTTAGAGTTAGAACACATCGGGATCCAGTTTGGGCCTTTTCCCTTGGGAAAGGTAAATGTCATCCTAGGCTGTCCAGTAGGGAGAAGGAAGTATGGATGCCAAGGCGCTGGCTTCGGGCAGCCAGGGTCACGAGAGATGAATTCAGATGGTGGCAGGTGCCGAGAAGGGATGATGTGGGGAGAGGGGAGCTGATCCTGCAGGAGGAAAGTCTCCAGGCTTGTCTGATGTGGCAGAACCAGGGTGGAGCAGGAGGGGATCTGAGGGCTCTCTGGAAAGGCATCCGGGTGAATCCCAGCGAGGGGAGAGAGCTGAAGGACAAAGGTTGGCATGAGATCTGGGGATAAAGCAGCAGTGAGTACATTTCAATGGGAATTATAAGGTACCCCAGCTGGGGGAGGACCCAGGGTGGCCTCCCAGTAGTAGAGGCAACAATCGAACTAGCTTTAGAAGGCACTTGCCCATTTTCTGAAGGGGCTGCTTCTAGGGGTTGCTCGTGACAGCCCCTGGACTGACCCAGTGGTCCTCTCTGGTCCTGGGTTCTGGTCTGCCACAAAGTAGGCCCATGGCTCCCCCTCCTGGCAGCTTGAGGCAATTGCTCTCTCTGCGAGCCCCCAGCAGGTGGCAAAAAGGCTTTAGCGGGGCCTTTGGTGCCTTGTTCCACAGCATTTCAGCTCCTGCATGGCGAGATCCAAGGGCCTGTGTCTGTAATGGCACGGCGCCCTCCTGTTGGCATGCCAGAGGCCCCTCCAATCACGCTCTGTTGCTACACCCACCCCACGGCCTCTCTGTGAGTCCGGCTGAAACAAAAGCCTCCTTCGCTCGGGCTTTTCTCTTTCTCTGGCCAAGAGCGGCCGGCTCAGACTGTTGATTGGCTTTTTCATGCACTGCTCCGAGCAGCTTTGAAAAATAACCACCCCCCCAAACCACCAGCCTACTTCTGCAAACAGTGTGGAGCCCGCAGCAGGAAGTGGGGCTCTGAGCTCCAGAGGCAGATTCGAGAGCCGTGCTGGCCTTTCAGGAGTAGGGGGAAGGGGAGGTTGCAACGGGGGCTGGAGAGGGGCTCATCCCTGCACCATGTTCAGCCGGCTGTGGTGAGTAGGTTGTCCTCCAGACCCTCGGAATATTTGTGTCAATTTCACAACTGGCCTCTGAGCTAAGAGTGGCTGGTGGGGAGCAGGGGAGGGCCATGGGTCAGGCAGATAACCTGGGTGCTGAAGACCTGGTCTCTGTCCTGGCCTCGCCTTCCGTGGTTGTTATAAGATTTGTAAACGTACGTTAAGAATCAGCTTTCCCATACGGGGGGGGGGGGGATTTGTTGGACCCCTTTGTCCAACAGCTGGGGAGTCGCTGTCGGAACCGGGGTGGGAGTTCTGAACCCAGAACTGGGGTGCATGCGAGGTGCCCTCTGCTGTGGTGGAGAGGGTGAAGCAGTCCCAGTGTGTGTGTTGGTCGGGGTTTCTAGTCCCTGGCTTTGGAGTTCTTAGTTTGACTTGCCCACATCTCTTTCAGCGTGAGTTTGAAGGAGCTCGACTCCACCACGGGGCAGCTGGATGATTTCTCCCGCCACCGCAGGGACCCCCGCCGGGCCCCCATCATCCGTAGCAATGATGAGCTGGAATCCCTGCTGTCGCAGGATGAGGAGGAGGAGGACCTGGAGCGGGCTCAGGTAGGGGCTGCATCTCCCCCTCCTCCCTTGACCCATAGGGGACTTGCCCAATGGATCTGGAGGGCCAGATCCTGGAAGGCGCTGAGCATTGCCCATCAGCTATTCAGTGTCCTCATCACCCATTGGCTTCAGCAAGAGAGCTCTGCACCTCACAGGATCAGTACCCCTCCCCCTCCTTGCCTGCTTGTACCTGTATGTTGACAGCAATTAATCATATACCTGGAAGGGGCCTCATGAGGTCCCTGGCCCTCAGGGCAGGACCAAACACCATCCAGGCTACCCCCAACAGGGGTTTGTCCAACCTGCCCTTAAAAACCTCCAGTAATGGAGATTCCACAACCTCCCTAGGCAGCTTATTCCAGTGCTTCACTACCCTGACAGGAAGTTTTTCCTAAAGTCCAACTTAAACCTCCCTTGCCACAATTTAAGCCCATTGCTTCTTGTCCCGTCCTCAGAGGCCAAGGAGAATTTTTTTTTTCCTCTCCGCCTTGTAACACCTTCTCAGGTACTTGAAAACAGTTACCACATCTCTTTTGAGTCCTCTCTTCTCCAGATGAAACAAATCCACTTCCTTCAACCTTCCCCCACAGGTCATGTTTTCTAGACCTTTAATCATGTATGTTGCTCTTCTTCGGACTTTCTCTAATTTGTACACATCTGTCTTGAAATGTGGTGCCCAGAACTGGACACCATACTCCAGCTGAGGCCTAATCAGCGAGGAGGAAAGCAGAAGAACGATTTCTTGTGTCTTGCTCACAACACTCCTGCTAATACATCCCAGAATGAGGTTTGCTTTTTGCAACAGCGTCACACTGTTCACTCATTTAGCTTGCGGTCCACTCTGACGCCCAGATCCCTTTCTGCAATTTATTGCTACCAGCACTCGTGCTTCAGATCCTTGTCCCCAACCTGACATGGATCAGGAAGGAATTATCGCTTTGCTTGCACTCCACCACATGCCTGCAACAATTGTATCAGCAGGGCCAGATGCCTTTCTTTTGAAGCCTCTGGAACTGGCCAGAATAGGCAGGGATACTGGCTTGGATGGATCAATGGTCTGATATAAGGTGAGAGGAGACCCAACAGAAATCTGATGCACTTTGGAGGGAGAGGGGATATTGGCTGAGATGGACAAAGCCAGTCGGGTAGGGAGGTGAACAGAAAACAAGATGGCCCCAGTAGGGCAGTCTGGGTGGGCAGGAGGGAGTTCACAACACAACAGACTCCTAACCCAGCCGGGCAGCCCCTGCCCAGTGCTCTCTGTTCCAGTCCTCATCTGTTCTCTCAGCCAGACTCTGTGGCTTCCTTTGTCAGCCTGCAGGGGAAGGAGGAAGGCAGAGCAGTTCCTGTTCAGGGGCATGTTCTCTTTGATAAGCAATTTTTTTCCCCTCTTTTGGGGAAGAGAAATGGCTGCTGATGGTGAAGGCCTGTGGCAGCGACGCCCGGGTCGCATGTCTCTACATTCCTAGATCGTAAAGCCAGCTGGGATGCGATGGTCCTGTCTGACTCTGGGCTGAGGGAACTGCACTATGAGAGGGCTAGTGCCCCTACAGTGGAAGTGCTCAGAAGGCGATGGCGGGGCACATCTCTCTGGCGACCAGCCAATATTTTCCACTTTCCAAGGGCACGACTTCGCTATGTTTCCTCCCCATTGTCTCCCCCCTGTTGTGGGGTGGGGGAGGAGGGAGACAAGTGAGGTGCCAGGGAGGGACTGGAGTGATCAGTGTGTTTGTGTGGGATCAGGCTGACTGCAGGGAGGGAGGGTGTCCTGGCCCAGCCCTGTCCCTCCTTCCAGGCTCTCCCAGGCCTGGAGGATAGGACAGGCAGAGCGGAGGGGGCTTCGGCTCTCAGACCCCAGCCACCGAGGGTGTGGGGAGAAGCACAGGGCTTTCCCATCAATAAGAACGGCCATACTGGGTCAGATCAAAGGTCCGACCAGCCCAGCATCCTGTCTCCTGACAGTGGCCAATACCAGATGCTCCAGAGGGAGGGAACACAACAGGGAATCCTCATGGGGTCCCTCCCGTCAGCCATTTCTAGACAAACAGAGGCTAGGGACAACATTCCTACTCATCCTGGCTAATAGCCATTGATGGACCTAATCTCCATGAATGTATCTAGCTCTTTTGTGAACCTAGTTAAAGTTCTAGTCTTCACCATATCCTCTGGCAAGGAGTTCCACAGGTTGACTTTGCGCTGAGTGAAGAAAATCTTCCTTTTGTTTGTTTCAAACTTGCTGCCTATTAATTTCATTTGATGACCCCCCTAGTTTTTATATTGTAAGAATAAGTAAATAACTTTTCCTTATTCACTTTTTCCACACCAGTCATGATTTTATAGACCTCTGTCATATCCCCCCTTAGTCTCCTGTTTTCTAAGCCAAAGGCCAAGTCTTTTTAAATCTCTCTTCACATGGGACTCGTTCCAAACCGCTACTCATTTGTTGCCCTCTTCTGAACCTAATGTTCCCTCTAATCTTTTCCATCTATGAGTGGAAGACATTTTTGTACGTGCACCACCAACAGAAACACAAACCTACCTGTGAGCGTTCTGCTAATCAGCTGGACGGCATTGGAAATTCTCCTGAGCGGCCACACAAGCGCACAGCTGACAGGGAACACTCCTTCCCCCCCTTCCCCATTTCAATATCTCCCCTCATTATCCCTCCATTCTCCCCATTCACAGAGAGCATCTCCCTCTTCCCCCCGCCTCTCCTCAGGGCTGGTGTGCTGTACAGCACAGGCCATAGGGTTAGCACCTCTGGGTACGTCTACACTTGCTCCCTATCTCAAGATAGGGATGCAAATGTAGCCGACCAAAATTGCTACTGAAGCGGGGATTTAAATATCAATCATTTTTTGAGGAGTAACGTTAGTTCGAACCAAGGGGTGTGATTCGAACTAACGCAGCCCGGAGTGCACTTCCTAGTTCGAATCAGCTGGCGATCGGAATAGCACGCGGGTGAGATTATGCTAATGAAGCGCGGGATATTTAAATCCCCGCTTCATTAGCAATTTCAGTCAGTTACATTTGCATCCCTATCTCGAGATAGGGAGCAAGTGTAGACGTACCCAGAGGTGCTAACCCTATGGCCTGTGCTGTACAGCACACCAGCCCTGAGGAGAGGCGGGGGGGAGGGTCATTAGCAATTTCAGTCAGTTACATTTGCATCCCTATCTCGAGATAGGGAGCAAGTGTAGACGTACCCTCTTTGATTTCAGAGAGGAACAGCTGATCTTGATTGAAAAGTCTCCAGGGATGGAGAACCCAGCACAACCCTTGGTAAACTTCAGGGGGTAGCCGAGTTAGTCTGTACAGAAAAAAACAACAAATGGTCTGGTAGCACTTTATAGACTAAACAAAACATGTAGATGGTATCATGATCTGTGGCCACGAAAGCTCATGAGACCATCTACATGTTTTGTTAGTCTATAAAGTGCTACCAGACCATTTGTTGTTTTTTTCTGTACCTCCTGCCTCTTCTCTGAACCCTGCTGCAATTGTGGACACTAGATCAGGGCCGAGGATTCCAGCTGATGCTTTAACAAATGCCAGGGGTGTGAACCCTTCATTTCCTGGCTAAATTCCACCCTGGGCCGATTCTACTATCTGACAACTAGTCTCTGGCTACGTCTACACCCGTGGAGCGTCCACACCTCAAATGCACTTTTGCGCAAGTAAATCAACAGTTAAACGGCAGAACAGAGGGCTTTTGCCGGTGTAGCTAAACCTCCTTCTGTGAGGCATAACTCCTTTTTGCCCTACAGCTATTGCGCAAAAAGGCGTGTGTGGATGCTCCAGAGGTTTGTGCAAGAAACCCCTATGGGGAAAAAGCACAGGTGTTCTGATAGCCATTCTGTGAATGGCCATCAGAGCTTTCTTGAGCAAGAGCGTCCATGCAGTGTGGATGCTCTCTTGCGCAAAAGCACATGGCTTTTGCGATGTGCTTTGAGGTGTGGACGTGCTCTTGTGCAAGAAGTTTTTGAGCAAAAACTCTTGCGCAAAAGGCTTCTTGTGCAAGAAACATGTAGTGTAATGTAGCCCCTGTGTTTTGGTAGGGCCTAGAGCAGACCTTGTCGCAGCAGGTGCTGGACATATGCTAGTAAGAGACAGTCGCTGCTCCAAAGAACTGACAGCCTAAACACAAAATGTGTGGGAGGGGAAACTGAGGCACAGAGCAGGGCATTGACTTGCGCAGGGTTGGCTAGCAGTAGCCAAGTGTCCTTGGGTTCAGTGCCAGGAGTGCTTGCTGGCCTCCTGGGACTGCATTCCCTTTCCTCATCATGGACAGGACCAGGGGAAAAAGGAGGGGAAGCAAAGAGCTAAAGGTGGGGGGGGGGGGGGG